TTACAATAATTCTCATTTCCTGTTTGTTGTGTTAATAAATAAATAAGCTTTAGATGGATTTTGTTTTCCAGTAGATATGGATCCTACCTCCAGAAGTTGTGCAATCTCCTATCCTACAACAGCAGCAAACTAACAGAGAAAAACATACAAAATGATAAAAAAATCACTGACCATGATAAGAGGTACAGAAAATGGATGGATGGATGTTTTACATTGTTTCCTTGTTCCGAATCTACTTAAAATTCCCTCTGTTTCCTTCTTTCTGATCAAATAAACTGAACTCTTGAGCAGTAACTGTGTCCTGAAAACATAATTTGGTATCAAAGAACTAGATATGCAGTAGGGAGTTTAGACATAAAAAAGCAATAAAGGCTCCAAAAAGACCCCTGCAGCACCCTACAGTAAATAGGGAATAAGACTTGAAATTAGCAGCAGTCCCAGAGACTCAAGTCCAGCTGGAAAAGAGAAAAAACATCCAAAGTATAACTGAAAGTCCTGTCATAACTCCATATGTAGCAGGAATTTCTGAGATTTGAATAACGTCATGAAGTTATGCTGAGAGAAAAGAACATTCATGGACAACCATCAGGATTTTTCCACATTTTCACCAGATGAAATAAAACTTTAGACAAAACCCTACTTTATGCAGTTAGACACCAGAATTCATCTTTAATTTTCCCCCAAATAGCTGCCTACGTGTATCTTTTAGTATCGTCACTCAGCTGAGGGCTCATAGTTGTACAATATTTGACAAAAATCATTTCTGGGAACATCTTCTCATAGAATTGATCCTAAACGGATGTTTCTAAGTCTGTAAATAGTCAAAAAGAGAAAGTCCTACCTGTGTTACCCATCAGTCAGTAAGTGTGGTGGTTTAGTGTTAAACAGCAGGAAGGTGGAGGAACACCATCATGATATCAGAGATCCTCCCACTTTAAGGTCAGATGACTTCAGAGAAAAAAAGCAGTTTGTCCCTTTTGGACTTTAATAACCTTCAGTTGTTAGCAGGTTTCTGCTCAACAGGTTTGTTTCTATTTAAACAAGCTGTTCCTGAATCTGTTTATCTGAGACAAACTGACTTTATGTACATTTCACAGTTTGTGTGAATGTTGGATTGTAGATCTGATTCCTTTGTCAACACTGTAGATGAACACAGTAATGACAAACAACAGTTCTCACACAGGTGATGAGCGGCACACCCTGTGGTCCTTTTCTTGGTTTTGCTTATAACTTTAAAAAAACATGATCAGCAAACAAGCAAACACTAATTTTAGTTTTAGTTGATCTGCTCTGGTCTTATTTTGAAGTTCAGACATCACACATTACACTATTTGCTCAGACAACATGGGACATATATTTCTTCCTCCAAACCTTAACACATTCGTCACATTCACTTTCCTGTATTCTGTTTGGTTGCTCTCTTCCTGAGGATGCAACTGGCTGGCAGCTGCAGCTCATTCGGGGCTCATGAAGGAAACCACTACCTCAGACAGACACTGAATCGTCTCCATTACCAGTGAGTTAGGGTTAGCCCCTTGTACTGAGTGTCCCCTGGTTTGTCATTACCCTTCTAGTATCTTTGTAATGGAGAGGGTTATAATAATCTTTTCCCTTGTGCAAATTATCTATATTTCTCCAATAAGTGGTAAAGATTCTTACTGAATACACGACTCTCAGTTGCTCTGCTGCTGTCATCACATTTTATTGAATTTTTTGGAGACAAAGAACAAATGAGACAGATACTCTGAGAAATTTTAATTCTGAAATTTAAATTCTGATTCCCATCAGAGACAAGAGACATTTCAACAGAAACCTTATGGAGAGCTGTTTCATTTTGAAACCTGTGAGGAATCCCTTCCAGAATTTATTTAGACTTTATTTATATTTCACTCTTTGTCTGAATGTTAGATTGTAGATCTATGATTCCTTTGTCAAAACTGTAAATGTACACAGTAAGGACAAACAACAGTTCTCACGCAAGCGGCACACCCTGTGGTCCTTTTCTTGGTTTCGCTTTTGCAATTTTGTTCACTTTATCAAAGTGTAACCGTGCTGAACATGGCCGTGTGATAGTCCAACTCGGTCCAGATAGAAGCGGCCCTGTTTTGTTTGTCTTTCCCTCTTTATCCTCGATTAATAACTCTGCGTTGTGTTTTAATGATGGCCAAGAGACAGGATATGGTGAACGATGCGTTTTAATCGGCGTGAAACAAGATATGTACTGGTCACATATCATGGGCTCATCTCAGCGGCAACAGCACCTTACGAGGAACTGCATTTTACATTAGCATCAAGCTAATTTTACATTAGCATCAAGCTAGCTGTTATTTCCAAATATATTTAGTCCCTTACCGTGTTATAAAGATAACAAAATGGACGTAGTGCTTCATTTGCCATAAATACATCCAGCCAGGGATCATACAATAGACAATGGATCACAATACATCATATTTTACCATTATAGCAGAGAAGGTCCAGATGTCAAACAGACATGAACAGCTAACAGGAAAAGACAGTAACCCGTTATGACCAAAAAGTGACCAACAGAGAAAAACGTTAGTCTCACATGAATCATCCATCCATTTTCTATCCTGATTATTCCCAACAGGGCTGTGGGTGTGGAGCCTACCCCAGAAATTCTGATTCCCATCAAAGACAGTACAGTTTGACAGAAACCTTAAGAAGAGCTGTTTCATCTTGAAACCTGTGAGGAATCCCCTCCAGAATCTTCTATCAGCTGCCTCCTTACAGACTTCACCTTCTTCACTCCACTGACACTTTTGGCGCTTTACCCTTATTCTCATCTCTGTCAGGGTTATCAGCGGTTACATCGTCTCAAGCCTTACTGATTGTTTGTCAATTTCTAAATGACCAGATAATCTATGAGACTATTAAATCAATGTTTGCATACAAAAATGTATTTTTGTTGGATTATAAGAATTCAGATACATGATACATACACAAAAGCTCATTTATAAACTGTCACCGTGTTACATATTTATTTACCACCCAAGCTTTCTAATGATCTCATTGTTTTGGTTCAACTTTTTTTTCCATTGTGCTGACAAAGTCATTTCCAAAATTCACGATCTGCCTCATGGCGCTCAGAATCAGTGCGTCCATGTCTGGTTGCAGTTTCTGGTCTTTGCTGTAGTTTTTCACAGGCAGGATGCAGTTCAGAGGAATACCAGTACCGGAGCTGATTTCCATCATCTAAGAGAGAAAGAAACTGAATTTCCTGAAGAAATTGAAAGTTATATCACTTGTTCTGTTCCTGGATGAACCTAAAGAAACTCACCTTGGTCTTCAGGAACCTGCTCTTATAGACGTTCCTCAGGTTCTCATCAATTTCTTTACAAGCCTCATCAATGTGGGTGACAACAGCCACCTGAGGAATCCCTGCAGGAACAGAAAAAAACTCAATAGGTCATGATCCAACATTAACATAAATGTCCAGAAAAAGCTCCTCAATATTGCCAGTAGAAGTTTGTAACCCACTTTTTTTAGTAGAGAACGGAGAACCAGAGAAAGAGTGAAGAGCAGAGCTAAGATTAAAGGAAACGTTTTAAAGGTGGATTACTGTAATGGAAAAGAAAATAAGATGTTTTAATTTTGCAAAGCTGGCATGAAGAACACACACAGAGTGAGAATACTGTCCTAATCGGGACAAAAGTTTTTATAGAATGCTAAATTAAATCATCATTCATTGATTTACAGATCTCATAAAGCATGTTTTAGGGATATGGCTCACACCTTAATGTTTAGAAACTCTGATTAAAGTACATTACATAAACCTGCACTGTTATGCTGATGATACTCAGTGATACTTTTCTATGAACTTGTAATGGAGATGATTTTAATAATATCTTCTCTTCTCTCACGGCCTGTGAGATTCAAAATTCTTGTTTTGCCTGGAACATTGGGATGTCCTTCCTGAGTTATGTGGATCATGTCCTTGGTTATTCTAGATAGGACGTTATTTCCTAAATAATTTGCTAACTAAAGTCTCTTACTTATCCGATTGTGGATAATATATAATATAATCAGCACTGTTACTTGGGTTTAAAGCTGTGACCTGTGCCTTAAACGCTGCTGCCTTCAAATAGAATGTTTTTAAGACTAGTTCAATCTTCTCTAATCATTGAGTAACTTTGTCTCCCTCATTGCATCATGCTTTGAAGTTTCTTATAGTCTGTTCTCTGAAACACTCAGGATTTTCTTTTATTACCCCCCTCCCCCCCATGAGTTCTTACCCAGTTTACTGGCTGCCCTTCTGATCTCTGTCATGTTTTTCAAAATAGGTACAGGAATTTCTGGAGAATTTCCATTAATGACAAAAACCACAACGTGAACTTTATCCTCTGGACCTGGGTTAGCGTTGTAGAATGGACTATCTTCTGACAGCGGTGATGACGGATTAAACTGAAAACCAAAGAGATTGTTAAAAATTCTGAAATGTATATGTTTTAACATGTCAGTGTTAACTGATTTAATTATAGAGTGATTCATACCTCGTACTTTTCCTTCACGTGCCCTTTGAGGGCCAGCTTGATGTCAGTCACAAATGGTCCTTTTTTGTTCGTGGATTCCAAACCCACGGTGTCACAGAGGACAAAGGGTAAGTCTCCATCCTCTTTGGAAATTTTATGAGCCGTGTACTGAAACATAAATCACATCAATCACCTCATGTTTAACCCAAACAGGAGAAACATACACTGCTTTTCCCTTCTGTTACTGCATCATATCTGTGTGTTTGGATGGAAAAGCTAACTGATGACAGCCTCCTCAGGTAGAGCAGTGACCTGCATCATGCTGTGGAACATTTAACAGATACGTTTAAAGCAAAGCAGCTCATCCATTATACCACGGACACACAAAAACCACACATGTACATTGTACATGATTATAGCTGACTCAGCATCTCACCACAGTGTAGATGTATTATATACGAGGTTACATTGAGAGGAATTACGATACGGTTTATGGAAATGGCTCATTTGTGTGCAGAGAAACAAGCTCAGAAAAACGAGTAAGCTGAATTTAAATCAATACAAAAACACCTTTAGGGTAAGTCTCCCCTCTCTGGGCTGCCACCTTACTGTGGTGAAGGGGTTTGAGTGGAGTGGTTGATGGAGTCAGAAGGTACTTTTTCTTCACTTTTTCTTCATTTTTGATTCACTTAATTAAATGTCTTCTTACCATTGTGGTGAAGCTTTCATCATTGGTGTTTGAATTGGCCAAAGCACCAGATACCAAACGGCCTTCCATTACACTCATGACAGAGGTGATGAAGCTGGACTTCCCGGCACCGACTGGTCCACAAAACATCACTCTGAGCTGCTCAATGCTCTTAGGTTGGAAATTTCTCACAGATTCAAGATCTTCTTTCATCTTACTATAAATAACTTTAATAATTTCAATTTTGTTATACTATGTATAATGATAATAGATTCCAACATGGCTGCTGATGTGTTAGCTAAGTGCACCCACTGAGAATGAATCCAGAAGTTGTTTTAGAGATGGGAATGACCCTCCATTCACAGCCCCTGATTACTCTGATTGTTATGTGATGGCCCAGCCAAGCTTTCTAATCCTTCAACAACAGCAGATCTGATTTTAGGAAAGAACCTTCGAAACACTTACAACAGGCGAAACAGGAGGCTTTTTGTGTACGAAATGTGATCATTTTTAGCCTTTTAATCTATACAATTTACAGCAGTGGATATAAGATTGGTGTCAAAACAGAAAGTATATTTGCTCAGTTAATTCACTTATTTAAATGTCTTCCTACCATCTTGGTGAAGCTCTCATCATTGGTGTTTGAATTAGCCAAAGCAGCAGATACCAAACGTTTTTCCATAGCACTCATGACAGAGGAGATGAAGCTGGACTTCCCGGCAGCGACTGGTCCACAAAACATCACTCTGATCTGGTGACTGTTCTTGTGAGGTTTGAAATTTCTCACATAATTGAGATTTTGTTCGATGTCGCTGTAAATAGAAGATTTTATTTATAAAATAACCTTTTTTTTACTAACATAGAATATCGATGAGATATTATGGACATATGATAAACCGTTACTCACTCCCATGAAAATTCCCTCCAGTCTTCATTTAAGACCGGAAACACACATTAATTAAACATTTTTAGTCAAGAAATATACATTTCACAATCATGTGGAAAACATCTGTGCTTTGGTTCTGTTTAGGAAGTTTTCTCACATCTGTTTAGTGTCTGTAAACATCAGAGTGTCTCTTCTTTACCAATCAGAAAATAACTTGAGACATGAAACAACTTGAGGGCAAACTTTTTCAGGATTAATTAAACTATGGTGGCATTTCATTTTAAATTGCAGCTTAATTTATTTTAAAAGTAAAAAGCCCCACAATTACGCTTAAACTGACTCATTGTGGGGTTATGGTTTGCAGAGGCCAGGTCCATCTGGAGTCTGCAGACCTCATTTAAAAATATATATTTTTTAATTATGACTTTTTCTTAAAGAAACAACAGAATCCTTTTTGTTGGATCCAAATGAGAATTAGGCAACTAATTATAAAACACAGAGAAACACTAAGACAAAAACACTTCTATATACAGAATAAATGGATCTTACCTGAGTTGGAAAATGCATTTCCCATAGCTAGTGGAAAAAAACAGAGAAAAACTTGTAAAACAATGAAGAATCATTTACTCCTGTCAAATGAACCCAGCAGCTCTCCAGCAGATGTAGAAGTTTTTCTTGTCTGTGGGTTCTGTTGAAGTTTAGTTCTGGTGGTCACATTTGAGTCAGGATGTTTGTGATGTGCTGCTCTACTTTGTTTTCTTTTTAGCTTTGAAGAGTTTCTCTATTTAAGGGTTTTCACATCTGAACCTCCTCTGCCACCATCTTTAGCAATAATCTCTGTTTCCTTCACTCAGGAACAGTTTCTTTTCTGGTTTCTGCTTCAGTACATTTTTTACATCAGCTTCTTCTTTCTGTGATTTATTAATAAAATATATCAGTTTTTGGTCTTTGTTGCTCCTGCCTGCACATTCTGCTGTTCAGGTCCTCTTTCTGTCTCCCTGGATAGAAGCAGCTGTCAGAATAACAGAATAAAAATACAGCTCTTTTTTCCACAAGGTTTAGTGGATGTAATTCTCATACCGCTGCCTTACATCCACAGATGTAGTTTCAGTCCAGA